GGATGCTTAGCATAATTTGATTCCACACATATTTGACATTTGGAATTAATGCAATCAAATTTTGGTAATACTTCTAAATTTATCATTTTTCGCAATGTTTTGAAGTTGACGTGACCTAAGCGTGAATGCCATAAAGTGTTTGACTCAAGTAAGTAAGAAGAAGCATCAACTTTATTGATAGGAACTACTATTACATTTAGCTTAAAAAGGCCCTCATTCAGGTAACCTTTTCCTACATACACATCATTCTTACTTAGTACAACACTATTAGAAACAAAAATACATTTGAATCCATTCTTGACAAGAAGTGAGGTAGACACAAGATTCTTGCGAATTTCTGGAACATGGAGAACTTGGTTTAGAGTCACTATTTTTTCCGACGTCATCTTCAACGCAATCTTGCCAACTCCTTCAATTTTGGCTGTAGACAAATTTCCCATGAAAATTATCTCGTCGGGTCCTGCGGGGGCATAAGAAGAAAATAACTCCTTGTTAGCACAACATGGCGGGTGGCTCCAGAATCTATCCACCATTATTTAGGATTTCCTACCAAGTTGCATTCAGACAACATGGCACACAAGTCCTCCATTTCTTCAGCATTTTCAACCATGTTAGCTTGATTCTTCTTCTTCTTATAATTCTTTGGTGCACGACAATCCACGGCCTTATACCCATATTTTCCACAGTTGTGGCAATTACCCTTGAACTTTTTCTTGCTTGGGTAATTCTTTGGTTCAGAAACCTTCTTTCTCTTCTTATTTTGTGGCGCCTCCTCAACAATGTTAGCCCTTATTATTGTCGAGTTTCCACGTGACTTCTTTTCAGCATTTTTGTTGTCTTCTTCTATCCTCAAACGAACAATCAAGTCTTCTAGTGTCATTTCCTTCCGCTTGTGTTTAAGATAGTTCTTAAAGTCCTTCCACAACGGAGGTAACTTCTCAATGAAAGCAGCAACTTGAAAGGCCTCATTTATGACCATACCTTCAGCAAGGAGGTCATGCACAATGACTTGTAATTCTTGGACTTGAGTTATGACCGACCTCGTGTCAATCATCTTGAAATCCAAAAACTTTGCAGCCACAAATTTCTTAAGTCCGGCATCCTCAGTCTTGTACTTTTTCTCAAGCGCATTCCATAACGCTTTTGAAGTTTCCATGACACTATAGACATTGTACAAGCTATCTTCCAAACAACTCAAAATGTAGTTTTTGCACAAGAAATCAGAATGTTTCCATGCTTCAGTTACAACAAATCGTTCATCATCCGGAGTGTCTTCAGCCAGGACCGGAGGATCCTCCTTGATGAATCGCTGCAAACTCAACGTAGTAAGATAGAAGAGCATTTTCATTTGCCAGCGTTTGAAGTCGATACCGGAAAACTTTCCGGGTTTTTCTGCTGGTGCCATAGCATGAGCAGGAGTTGAACGGCTTGACGAGGCAGCAACATTCGTAACAGTAGCACCCGTTCCCGCAACATTTCCATTAGTTTGGTTTTCATTCGTCATTTTTCTGTAGAGTTGGAAACAAAACAGAACTTTGTTAAATCAGTGAAGCTTTGATACCTTCAAACTAAATACCAAACCAAACATACAACACGAAACAATGGTGAAGTTTTTATATACTTCAAACCCGTACATTTATTATTCCGGTAAAGTTTTGATATACTTTAAACCGGATAGAACAATTATTGGAGTAGAAAGCACGAAGGCTTCAGTACTCCAAACCAGTATACAAAATATAAATAACAGTTTAATATATATTTCAACACAAAAACGTTAGTATTAAAATTCCTTAAGCTTGTTTTTCGCTACTGTGTTAAAACACAAAATCAGAAAACTGTTAGAAGAATAAAAGAAACTGGAAAACAGTAAAGAATAAGAAATATTCCGAGTCCACAATTTGCTTGTGCGTCCTTAAGGAATTTTAACCCCCTCACAAGTTGCCAAGGTAATGGATTAAATCCTCCCAGGATGAAGCGGAATAAACCTTCCTGCAACAGTGTCTATACAAACTGCAGGATACCAACGAACTCAAAGAACGGAGCAAAATCACACTTACGAATTTGAGAGAGAGACTGCGAATTAGAATGCAGTATTTTCAGAAAGAAGGAAGTTCTGTAATGTTTTTGGTGTGATAAAAACGAAGCCATGCCTCAGAATTTATAGGTAATTATTGGAAGAGGTGTGATGTTTGTTCTGGAAAAGGTGCCTGTTCAGAAGTTTGCGCGTCTTGCCGCGGTCCTACCGCGGCCAGACTATCCTTCTGAATCTTCAGCAGTGATCTGGCATTTAATTAATTATTAAATAATTAATTAAATAAATTTTGTCCAAAAATAATCTTATCAAGCCGAAGCCGAATCCAAAGCCGAGCGAGCGACGACGACGGCGCGAGGGTTCATTCTCTTCAACTCCTTTTAAGAGCTTTAAGAAGTGATTCTATATATAAGCACACAAATGTAGTTGTCCCTCACCAATGAGGGACAAAGTGCAAGTCAAAAGCTCACTTTATTCAAATTTTCAATTCCCTCCATTTTATTTTTCACCATTTCCAATTCACACTCTTAGACTTTAAAGCCCAATGCTTAAAGTCTTTGAAGCCCAATGCCTTTAAAGTCCAACAAATATTTCTCATAATAATATTTTTTCTATCTAACTTTTGCAATTGTTTAGGGGTTAATGAGTGAAACACGTGACATAGAGACTAGTACTAGTCAAAACTTAGTTGAGGTTTATGATTGAATGGTAAATGACGATATTCAATTAAAGGAAGTAGTATGTTTACTTCTAATTTTTCTTCCTTTATATACACTTATTTTTATTCAGGTTTCTAACAATTTCACTTTCTAATTTCATCTCAATTTTTCTAAATTAGCTATTTTTTATCATATTTGATTGATTCATACATCACATAATAAGTTCTTTTTGTGTCTTAAATTTTTTGACATAGTTCAAAACAGCGTTTTAAAAGGCATTTTCGGGGCGAGCCCCGGGATGAGGCGCACCATAAACGCCCTGCGGCGATGGTGTGGGGCGAAAGTCTCAAGAGTCGTACGCCCGGCGTTTGACGCGTAAGCCCAGGAGGCTTTTTCAAATTAAAACAAAATTTGTTGAATAAGTCCTTCATATAATATCCAAATTCTCAAAAGTCAGCTTGGTAATTACTCAAAAGTTTTAAAAAGGAACTGAAATGCAGTAAATTTAAAAGTCAAGACCCTTTTTATTGATTGAAGCCCTAAATCATTGTCTTTTCTAATTTTTTATTTTGTCCGCTAGTCTGCTAATATCTCCCAAAAGCAACAAATACTTTTTCTTTTACAAATACAAAGAGAACTACATTCTCCTTCATAGCAGCAAGTTTAAAGTTCAAATTGCAGGTTAGTCATCCTTTTTGCTCCTCCATATAGAAAACTTTATTCTTTTCGACTCAAGTTACTTGTGCTTCTAAGTAACGTATAATAATTGTTTTGAATAGTTTTTTGTGAGGATGGAGCGCGCGCGCGCGCGTGCGCACACACACACACACACACACACACACACACATATATATATATATATATATATATATATTTATAGTTTATAGTTTTCTTCAATTTTTTTGGGAGTGGCTCCCGTGGAGACAAGATGCGTGAGTTGAGGCTGAGATGGTTCGGGCACGTGCAGAGGAGGAGGGCGGATGCTCCTGTTAGGAGGTGTGAGAGGCTGGCCGTGGCGGGGATGAGAATGGGCAGAGGAAGACCGAAGAAGCATTGAGGAGAACTCATTAGGTAGGATATGCGCTACTTCAACTCACTGAGGACATGACCCAGGATAGAAGGGTGTGGATGTCTAATATTAGGGTAGTTGGCTAGTAGGTAGTCGAGAGTTTCCCGTTCTTTTTTAGTAGTATTAGTAGCTCCCTGGTTTTTTTTCGTATTCTTTGACTCCTAGTATTTGCTTATTGTTTCGTTCGCTCTGTGTATCGTATTTTCTAGTTTGTTACTATTTGATGCTATTTTATCTTTACATGTTGTTTCATTATTGTCGTTGCTGTTGTTGTTGTTGTTGTTATTGTAGTTGCCTTTTTCCACTTTTCCTTATCGTCCTTTGTCCCCCTATTCTTTCTTTCTTCTTCGTCTTCTTCCTTTCTCTCTTTCCACTTTTTCTTGAGACGAGGGTCTATCAGAACAGTCTCTCTACCTCGCCAGATAGGGGTAAGGTATGCGTACATACTGCCCTCCCAGATCCCGCTTGTGGAATTATACTGGGTATGTTGTTGTTGTTATACGTGTTTATAAATATTTGCTGTAATTATATTTCTTTATAAAATATTAAGAATTAAATACCTATGGGGCTTACCCCCATACCTCGGAGCTTACGCCTCGCTGAGACATATGTAAAACGCCTCGCTTTACGCGCCCACACTTTTTAAGACACTTGTTCAAAACCATGACATGTATCTAATCCACTCATCATGCGCTGTACTTTTATCATTAGACCAATTCATGTAGGTTTCTTTTGTATCTCATTATTCTATGAATTTTACGGAAAACAAGTTTACGGGCCTTTTAACATATTTTGACTTTAAGCCACCAATCCCTTGAACTATTCTTGATTACGGTATTATATACGAATTACGATTTATCTTCAATTTACGTTGTGCCATTTCTCGTTGTTGTCACCTACCTACCGTTTAGGTGGCACCAGCGAGATCCAGCTAAGGTAAGGAACTTCGTGTCGCGGCTGCTTCACTCCGCTGCACTGCGGTTTCATGAACTGAACTTCGTTGCCTTCCCGCGCGCGAAGCGAATGGGCATTGTGCCGTTGGTCAGTTTCAGGGTGGGGAGCAAAGAGAGACCAGAAGAATCATTCATTTGGATCGACGAGCTTTTTCAGCCAAAAAACGAAGGTTGACTTTTTAGAATCCACAATTCAATTGCTTTATTTATCTCATTTACTGTTTTTTTTTTCTGTTTTTTCTATTTATATCCTATCACTGGTAAAAAAACAAAACCGTAAATAAAAGTATAGAAAGTAGAAGGGATTTGTCTCCCATAATATTCTGAAAACTGAGAAAGAAGGAGAGTTAAGACATTGAAAGATTCTTCATTATACACAAATTATCAGAAAAAAAATCCATTTAAAAGTATTTCTCAGTCCTTCCTTTGAATCCAATTTGCCCAAAAGTTAGGCAGAGGAACAAACCCAAGTGCCAACAGACCATCCATAGCCTGTAATTAAGCCAAAAATGCAAATTTCTAAATTAGAGAAAAAACTAAGAATTGATCTGTAATAAAGCACTTCATCTATAAATATTATAGAAAATTCTAATTATTCTTTTCGAATTGGTCCACTTGATTATTTTCATTTTTTTTTTGTTGCAAAAAATAGGCCAAATGCACTAAAATTCATATAACATACTGAGTTTCTAATTAAAAAAAATAAGATTTTGAATTTTTTTTTTTTAAATTTTTCTTCTATATCATAGGGCGGATCATGGAAGGGAAAGGGAGACAGTGAGAATTGAATTTTCATATTTATGAGAGACTTTCACCAGTACTACTAAACTATAAGATTTGTGAAAATTGGTTTTCCACTAAACAACATATACTATTGGGTTCAATACTGTATGCTTCTATTTTACCTTTAATAAACTAATTTGTGGTCACATAATTATGTAAAACTTATTTTAAACCATAAATTTTAAAAGTATTACTCCCTTCGTTCTTTTTTACTTGTCCAGTATTTTAAAAATAGATTTTCTCTTTTAATTGTCACTTTTCGCATATCAAGAGAAGACAATTTCTTTTTTCTTGTTATACCCACAATATAAATTACTCATTTCAAATTATTTTCTCAAATCCATTAAAAATAAGCATCAATTAATATGGATATCATGGTAAATTATGCACCTCATTTATTATTTCTTAAAGGGTGTGCAAATTCAATAGTGGACAAGTAAAAGTGAACGGAGGGATTACTTTCTTTCTTAAACTCCGTATCAAGTCAAATAGTGGCACATAAATTGGGATGCAAGGAGTAATAAAATCGAGCAAAAACCGATAATTTGGTTACCAATTTAGACATTTTCTGTTTTTGTAAATCTTATTATGTAAATATTGTCCTACACTGGAAGTAAATTCCTTCATATGTCACAATTTATCTGATGCACTTTTGTTTCTTAGTCTGTTTCAAAAAGAATGATATATTTCCTTATTTAAACATAAGTTAGTTTTAATTTTTCATTTTACTCTTAAGAAGATGATTTATTGTCATAAAAAAATATATGACTCGTTTTAATTAATAAATTTCAATTTTTTTCTTAAATTCTATACCAATCAAAATGCATCATATAAAATAATCGGAGGGCATAAAATTGAAAGAGTAATTATATTACCAGAATTGAGAAGTGACACCAGGGCCAGTAGGGAAATGAGAGAGCTCAGTGCCAATGCTCTCAAAAAAGAGACCAGTTAAACTTTTGCCATTAATTGCTGGAATGCTTGAAGGTGCTAGCCATCCAATTAGACCAAATCCAATCACATTCAAATCTCTCCTCAGCCAATCTCTCTCAAAGCTTCAAATTACACATTACAAAATTACAATATTTTTATTATTAGTATGTTTCAAAAAGAACAATAATATTCTATACTTAAAAATAATTTAATTTTAAATTTTTAATTAACCTTTTAATGACATGCTTTTATATCCAGAGAAATGCATTTCAGGCTTATCATAAGTACCGAAAATCGTATTTTCTTTTTTAAACTTCTTACCGTTTAATCACTACCACATAAATTAAAATCAAAGGACTAACTTCTTACACTATTACTATAATTTAACCTGTTTTAGCAAATCCTCCTTATTAGTTAGATGACTAATTTCACAAGTAATTATTTATATTTTTTTAGTAACTTGATAGCAATATAATTCTTTTATATTTCATTGTATAAGTTAACTCAAACATAAAAAAGAAGCTATTTAAATAAACTGCAGTATAACTTTATTTTGTAATTTACCATGTGAATTTGCCTCCTGAAGCTTGGGCTATCCTTAGAGGGTTTCTTGCTGTGACTGGTGATGTTAAGAAGCCTGTGAACAAAAATGGAATTAATATAATGGAAAAGATGAAATAAGATGTTATTAAGACTAACCCACCTAATTATACAGAAGTCATTATATTTCTCTAATAAATAGTAGACTAAAAATTGAAGAATTAACCTAAATAGTTGTTCACTTAATCTCTTAAACTAAAAATAGCCGATAGATGTATAATATATGTATAATTCATGTATCATATGTGTAACACCCCAGACTTTAGACAGAGTCTCACATCGGCAAAGCACAAGAGGGATGCTGGTTATATAAGTCAACAAGCCTTAGACCCTAGTGACGCATTTTAAACCCGTGAGGGCCTAGGCCCAAAGCGGACAATATCACTAGCGGGCTGGGCTGTTACAGATGGTATCAGAGCCACTTTTGTGTCAGCCGTGCCGATGGTGGGTCAGAGTTCAACTGAGTTTAGGCAAATCCCGGTTAGGCGGGGAAACCTCAGTGCTGAATCTAGGCGAATCCCATGAGGTGAGGCAAACCTCAGCGAGGACGCTGAGTCCACCAGAGGGGTGTATGTAACACCCCAGATTTTAGACAGAGTCCCACATCGGTAAAACACAAGAGAGATGTTGGGTATATAAGTTAACAAGCCTTAGACTCTAGTGGGTATATAAGTTAACAAGCCTTAGACTATAGAGCGGACAATATCACTAGCTGGCTGGGCTGTTACAATATGTGTATAAATATGTATAATTAATGTATAATCTATGTATACCGACTAGAAAAAATAAACAGTAAATATAGTTGGCTATTTGTGTAACAATCCCTAAAAAATTTTCCTATATTACTTAGGATGTAGCATTCGTATGGGTGCAGACGTTTTTGACTTAAATTATGTATGTATTTAAAAAATGTTTAAAACAGTATTTATATTAAATTCGTACTTATTGTCATAAGGACTAGTGAGCCTAATGATACTCCATATCCACTAATTTAAAATTCTGAATTTGTATCTAACGAAAATATACATGAGTTAGCTGAATAGAATTACAGATAAAGTACCCTTTTGAAAATGCAAAATGTTGAAAGTAACTAGTGGAAATGAAAGCCATTTGATGTGGCAAGATTACCATAGAATTTTAAAAAGAACCAATCTTTTAATTTTGTTTTAAATCTTATATTTATCTTTAAAAAATTATTTGTTCAAGTTACAAAAGGGTTAAAATTTCGAACTCATATATATCAAATCCTGACTTCCATTCGTGTCTTTGGGAATAACTAATCACAATACAAAAGAGAAAGCTAAGAGTACCTGAGTTGAGGGATGTCCTTTTTGGGGAAGAAAGAGAGGAACTGACCAAACCTACAACAGTTGATGTAGTAGCCATTCTTGCTGCCATCTTTCTTAATTTTCCTTTTTTTTTTTTTGTTTTTGCTTTGTTTTTGACTTGATTTTGAAGTTGGATTTGGTTTTTGAAGAGGTGAACTAGTGGATAAAAAATAATGGTGAGAATAAAGATTCTTTTAGGAAAATATGTGGTGGACTCAAAAGATTGCGACACTATGTAGATTTTGTGGATGGGCTGTTGATCAATGACTGGTCGCCATGTGGATTTTTATTGGATAATACTGGTTTCATACTTTGGAAATATTTGATTCTGCTGACTTCCTCCTACTGGAACAGGATAAGTTGCGTTTACACAAATAGTCGGTCATATTTGTTTACTTTTTTTAAGCATATACATTACACAAATAATCGATCATATTTAACCGTTGTTTTCTTTCATTATTGATCAAATTACTGTCTTGTTGTTTTTATTTTGCTTTTATATGGCTTTTTGGTACTGTCCCTTCTTGTCTATATTTTTATTAATGTGGTGCTTATACTTTCCTGAGCCGAGGGTCTACTAAAACAGCTTCTCTATCCTCACAAGGTAGGGGTATGGTCTGCGTACACACTATCCGCCCCAGACCCCACGGTGTGAGATTTGTTATTGTTGTTGGTATTGTATACATTGATTATACACGATTATATACATATAATACATATATTATAGCTCTAACAACTATTTTTAATTTAAGCGATTGAATAAGCGGCTATTTTGATTAATTCTTCTATAAAAGATATCGAAAATAAGTCTTTTGCATTGACCATGGTAACAAAAAATATACTATCAGGTTACTTATAAGATAATAACACATTGTATTATCTAATAAAAACATTAATTGCTGTGCAATACATTAAAAATAGGCATTAACTAACTTGTTATAAAGTCGCGCAAGAAGCACCAAGTACTTATTTAAGCTACTATGTGTTGGACTTTAAGCATTGGGCTTTAAAGACTTTAAGCATTGGGCTTTAAAAGTCTAAGAGTGTGAATTGGAAATGGTGGGAAATAAAATGGAGGGAAATGAAAATTTGAATGAGGTGAGCTTTTGTCTTGAACTTTGTCCCTCATTGGTGAGGGACAACTACATTTGTGTGTATATATATAGGATCACTTCTTAGAGCTCTTAAAAGGAGTTGAAGAGAATGAACCCTCGCGCCGTCGTCGTCGCTCGCTCGGCTTCGGCTTCGGCTTCGGCAAATACTCCTAAGCTCTTTACTCCAAGGGTAACTTTGAAAAAAAGAAGTTAATTTCTTCTTGATTTCTGATAAAATCAAATATTATGGACAACAAAAGAAAGGCTTCAATTAAAGTGGACCGGAGGGAGTAATAAACAGTTGATGTGTTTGAGAAAACTGTTGATAAAATTCTTTTGTTAAAATAACCAAAATACCCCTTAAATTATATATATATATATATATATATATATATATATATATATATATATATATATATATATATATATATATTGTAACTACCCGACCGGTCGTTTTGAGCCCTACCGCGCCGTTCAGCAGTTCGAGGCCATGAGCAGCTTCAATTCAGGCATTTTGACTTGTACGCGTGGTCAGAATTAAATTTCGGGAAGTNTTCTGGCCAAAACCTTTGGCTCCTATTTGCATACATTGCGATAGTGAGGCTGCAATAGGACGGGCAGGGAGCGTTATGTATAACGGAAAGTCTCGTCATATACGACGAAGACATAACACCGTTAGACAACTACTTTCTAGTGGAATTATCACTATTGATTATGTAAGATCAAAGGATAATGTGGCGGATCCGCTTACAAAAGGCTTAACTAGAGAGGGAGTTGAAAAATCATCTAAGGGAATGGGACTATGGCCGAGGACAAGTCAACATGGCGGTAACTCTACCTAGAATTTTGGATATTCCGAGATCTAGGTTCAAGGAGCTCAAACAAAGTTGTGATTGACCGGTTCAACATTGTCAAAGTAAAATCTTTGGTCCATTCTCGTGATGAAGACAATATTCAGTAACAAGGATAGAACTTTACACGTTCTTTAATGATTACCTAAGTTTGATGTGGTATTTATCAAATAGTGTCAATCTAAAGGATTACACGTTTAGGAATCACCTATGTAAGTGTGAAGTGGAAGCTGCTTAATTGAGAATTATGTAAGGCCAATTCTCTATGCACTTATGAAACCAGGCGGTGTTCATGGCTGAAACAAACACAACAATGAGAACCAAAAGACGGTTAAGGGTTGGTTGTGTGATATATGGTTGTCTAGGTATACACTAAAGTTCGACGGTTCAAAGATATCAAATCTACCGATTGACCGAGTATATCCGACATATGTTCACTACGGAAAGTTCAAAGGGAAACCTACTTATCCAGATGCAATTGATCCTTACTTGCAAATCACACAGCTTTCATCTATGATCATTCTTGTTACAGTCATTCGCATTCATGTGGGGGATTGTTGGACTTTAAGCATTGGCCTTTAAAGACTTTAAGCATTGGCCTTTAAAAGTCTAAGAGTGTGAATTGGAAATGGTGGGAAATAAAATGGAGGAAAATGAAAATTTGAATGAGGTGAGCTTTTGTCTTGAACTTTGTCCCTCATTGGTGAGGGACAACTACATTTGTGTGTATATATATAGGATCACTTCTTAGAGCTCTTAAAAGGAGTTGAAGAGAATGAACCATCGCGCCGTCGTCGTCGCTCGCTCGGCTCGGCTTCGACTTTGGATTTGAAATGGATTTGTCAAATGATCGATCGATAAGATTTTTTTTGGACAAAATTTATTTAATTAATTATATTTAATTAATTATTTAATAATTAATTAAAAGCCAGTCAGGTTAATTAACGAAATTAACTGAAATCTGAAATCAAAAAACGCTGACGTTAATTTCTCCCTTCTGACAGACACTTTTCCTAAACAGACATCACACCTCTTCCGATAATTGCCTATAAATTCTGAGGCATGGCTGCATTTTCGACACACTGAAAAATTACAGAACTTCCTTCCTTATGAAAATCCTGCATTCTATTTCGCAGAATCTCTTCTAAATTTCGTAACTGTGATCACTACTAGAATTTCGGAAAAAAGCGACCAGCAAAAGCGACCAACGTTGGTCGCTTATTGGCCAAAAAGCGACCAAAAAGCGACCAACCACGCCTGATCGATATTAAGCTGGTCCCTTTACCTTAGGGATCAAAGTTGGTCGCTAAATAGCGACCAACGTTGGTCTCTCAGGTAAAAGGACCAAATTTTCCGGGCAAAGCATATAGCGACCAACTTTGGTCGCTCAAATATTTTAATATTATATTTTGGCGACCAAAGTTGGTCTCCAGATGTAAATAACGTTTTTTTTTATTTATTTTTAATCATATTAAGCGACCAACTTTGGTCGCTATATTAGTAAATGTTATAATTTTTTATTTAATGGGCGACCAATATTGGTCGCCAATGGCAAGAATTAATTTTTTTTTTAACTATAAGCGACCAACCTTGGTCGCAAAATTACCAAAAAATTATTTTTTTTTAAGTGAATAGTGACCAACTGGACACAAAGTTGGTCGCTTTTTTGGTATATTTTTGGCAGAAACTGCCTGTTTTGGCTGCTACACCACCTGCCAGCTTATACCAAATATCCTAAACAAGCATTTTATGCCAGCAACAACAACACTAAAACGCAACAAAATATAAAGATCAATACAACTAAAACATTAAGCTAACAAAACTAAGTTAACGTTTATTACAAGCTCATTCGAAAACTAGTTCTATTGTCTAGTTCAAAGTATATAAAGTACTCAAGGAGTGTTCTTTTAGCATCCTCGTTCGAAAGTTGGATTGCCTCGGCCGACTCGTTAGGTGGCTGACTTCGTATGAATTCGCCCACATCAGTTGTGAAGCGAACCTATAAGAAAAATTATATTGAATTAATATTTCAAAATTTATATAAAAGTAAATCAAAATACTTAATGATAAGTAAAAAACTTACATGTATAGTCGAGGCTCGACCCTCGACCCACCTTTCTGAATCAGTCTCTTTCTTCTTCTTTACAATACGAGTTTCATTGAATAGCTCATCTTGCTTCATTGGCATCATAAAGCTGTCCGGTGGCTTTGGTGATTATCCTCATGGTACTATTACTCGGGATGAACTTGGATACAGAGAATAACTTGGATACAGTAGCTGACAGGGTGTGTCTTTTGATCAATTGTTGTTCTCGTTAGCGACAATGATGTTGAGACTGCAATGACATGTGTTTCAACTAGAGATGGTATAGGCAGGAATTTTAACATTTTCTAAGTAGATAAAAGAAAGATTATAGAGGAATTCTCTACTTCATTTTCCAAGAAGAAAAGAAGTTTAATTGAGAGTGACAAGGTTGATGGTGATGGAATATTTTCCGTTGGTCATGGCAGTTCCCATAAAACGGGGATCATAAGAC